CAAAGAGCAGCACCCCTCCCTTACCACCAAAAGATAATTAGTTCTCTCTTTTCAGTTCCTTTCTCATGGCCCATCACCACAGCAACATGTTACACATGGAAAAAAAACCCTCTGGCAAGATTGCAGCTATTCACACCCTACTTTTAAACTGTGTTTGTTTGACTCATTGCCTGTCTTTCTCCCCAGACCAGGAGATTTTTTTAAAAAAAGAGTATTAAAAGCTATGGAAGGGATCAAAATGCAATAATGTTAAAACACAGTTAAGCAAATTATAACATTATAAAACACGATTTAGAAACATTTTGATAAAAAGGAGTGGTACCCATAGGTCCCACACTTCTCCAGCAGCTAGTAAACAGTCAAAAGCCTGTTCCCATAAAAATATCTGCCTTAAACAAGAGGGAGAGGACCAGCTGAGACTCCTCCAGAAAGGGAGTTTCACAGCTTAGGAGCTGATGCCTAGAAGCCCTTGCTCGTGTCCCTAAAAAAACATTTGTCGGGGTGGTGGTGGTGGCAGGACTTAGAGAAGGGCTTCTACCAAAGATCTCAGAACCCAGGCAGGCTCAAATGGGAGACTATGGTCTTCAGAGAGGATAGAGTCAAGCAATGTAGGGTTTTCAAGATCATAACCAGTGCTTCAGTTAAGCCTAGGAACAGACTGGTAACAAGGACAGCTGTCACTAGCTAATACAGCTATGGTACACCAGAGGGAGATTGTGTTGCCCATAACTAGCCTTGGTTAACAATCAGGCCACAACATTTTGGATGAAGTGATTTCTGAGTATGTTTCAAAGGCAAGAGTGGAAACCAACGCCTGGGTACCACAGCCATTAGGGAATCCAAGGCTGTGTTAACTTCATCTTATTCAGTGAATAGGATGAGCACCGCCCCCTAAAGTCGGACACAACTGGACTGAAAATGTCAAGGGGAACCTTTACCTTTAATTCACTGATGTGCATATCAGCTGATTTGGAGAACCTCTGCTTTGTCTGCACAAAGCGTTTATGGGCCATGGCTACATCAGGTAGGCATCTGCAAATATTTAGTCGTCCATAATGGGCTATGATCACCTGCTCCTCTGATGATTTCAGCATATGATAGGCAAATGAAAAAAGTCTGCCCATGTTTATTCCCAATTCATCACAAGTAGGCAGTAAACACTCAGTGCCATTCACATAGTTTGGTTTTGACACATCCATTTAGGCTGGTTTGTAGTGGACAAAACTTTGTTCCATGGATAGGGGTAAGTGCCCACATTTAGTTCTCCCACTGGCTGTTTGTCATGCTCTGAGGTGACAATACGATCACTGCCACATGAGGCAACAGCTGCTATTTCTGAAAATGCTTGGCTCGCTGGCTATCTCCAATTATGTCTCAAATCTGCTCCTCCGCAAATATTTAGCCGTCCATAATCACCTGCTCCTCTGATGATTTCAGCATATGATAGGCAAATGAAAAAAGTCTGCCCATGTTTACTCCCAATTCATCACAAGTAGGCAGTAAACACTCAGTGCCATTCACATAGTTTGGTTTTGACATATCAATTTAGGCTGGTTTGCAGTGGACAAAACACTTTGTTCCATGGATAGGGGTAAGTGCCCACATTTAGTTCTCCCACTGGCCGTTTGTCATGCTCTGAGGTGACAATACGAACATTGCCACACGAGGCAACAGCTGCTATTTCTGAAAATGCTTGGCTCGCTGGCTATCTCCAATTACGTCTCAAATCTGCTCCTGAAGCTACTTCTTTTACCTTTCCTTCAGTCTGTTCTATTTTCTGAGGACATGGAAGGAGACTCTCCAAGGAATGTGTGGATTGTGAACACATTTCAACAACCCCTGGCCAATGCCAGCTCCCCATCGGCTGATCCTTTCATTCTGGAAGCACCACTGGATTGCTTCTGATTCAAATGGTGTGTTATCTTCAAATGAACAGATTGGCTTTACTGAAACCTCAGCTTAGGAAGACTTTTTAAAAAATTCCCAGAATCCTCCAGGAGCTAATGGCCATGCTGGCTAGGGAAATTTAGGATTTCTAATCAGGCCAGGAGAACAAACCTATCAGTTCTAAAGGAAATCAACCCTGAGTGCTCACTGGAAGGACAGATCCTGAAGCTGAGGCTCCAGTACGAATGTGTGGATTGTGAACACATTTCAACAACCCCTGGCCAATGCCAGCTCCCCATCGGCTGATCCTTTCATTCTGGAAGCACCACTGGATTGCTTCTGATTCAAATGGTGTGTTATCTTCAAATGAACAGATTGGCTTTACTGAAACCTCAGCTTAGGAAGACTTTTTAAAAAATTCCCACAATCCTCCAGGAGCTAATGGCCATGCTAGCTAGGGAAATCTGGGATTTCTAATCAGGCCAGGTTGCTGGAGGATTCTGCGAATTCTAGTCTAAACAACTGACCTCTCTATGCTCTGGTTATATATATTCTGTTGCATATTTTCACCAGCTGCCTGGCGTGCTCGGGTCCATGGGGTCACGAAGAGTCGGACATGACTAAACGAACGAACGAACGAATCAGGCCAGGTTGCTGGAGGATTCTGGGAATTCTAGTCTAAAAAACTGACCTCTCTACGATCTGGTTATATATTCTGTTGCATATTTTCACCAGCTTGGAAGACTGAAGGCAACTGAAAGCAATCCCAGTCTGGGTAAAGAATCTTGCGTAGGCTTCAAGACAGTTGGGATTTTATTCATTGCTTAATTCAGAACAGCTATCCCAAAGAAAAATGCCTTCCTGAGATAGATAACTGAAAGGTCCTGGCCCTGCCCAGCACGATCCTTCTGGTGATCCTTATTATGTGCATCACCTCCTGACATACTGGCAAAGCCCTAGGTTATTTCTAGACCGTTTTCCAGGAAAACTGGAATTGTCAAGCAGATGCAGCATGTTGTCCCCAAAGAAACCCAACCTCCAGCAGCATCAGGGGGGAAAAAAATAAAGCCACAACTCTGCCAATTTTATTTCAGAACTGCCTCACTGCTTCTCCTCGTTGATGCTCTAAGGGTTTAAAATGTTTGCCAACAAATAAGAGCGGCGACTATTAAATTATGATACAATAATGTAAAATGACGAGAATGGTAGCATTGCTTGCCTGCAGCTTTATGAAACCATTACAAGCTCTCTAGAGAGCCTGTAGTCAAATTACAGACTTTCCACGCTAGACTCTATCCTTTTGGGGAAAGTATCAGGCCTGGAAGAATCGGTAGCCCTTCAAAGGCTGCCATGTTAATATGCTCTGAAAGGCTTCCGTACTGAAAATGTTTTGCCAAATGTGTACGAGATGCTGAGGTACACACTGTACTGAGAAAATGGCATGTGTCCTTTAACAGGGCACACTGGCAAAGAAGCTCAGCCTCATGAAAAGGAATGGCAGTGTTCTCCACCCATGTCCTTAAGAGAAGGTCAGCATTTCCTGTGAAGTCTTAACAGCACATGCCATTAGTGGGGTGAATGTTTGTAACCTGGATGGAAATGCAAGGATAGAGTGCAGGGAGAAACAAGCAGAAAGGCCCAGTTGGACCTGGTTTTGAGTTCAAATTCTACTTTAAGGATGTAGAATTTTCTTTACATCAGCACTCCTCTGTAAATTGGAAATGACGGAAGTGGATATTGTAGGGCTGTTATCTGGAACAATAAAGATAAGGATTGCAACAAATTATCGTTGCGAACATAATGTGCTAATAAAGTCAGCAATACTGTAAACATGCCGAGTCATATTGGATATCTCTTTTGCACAGAATGTCCTAAAATGCACACAGAAAATACAAGTGTGGCATGCTTATCAAGAAAAATTATTTAAAATACATTTAGTTGCTTTTTAAGATTTCACAAATTACATACAAGCAAGAGCAAAGGCAAAGATAAAAATAATAACATTAACAAAAATATAGGTGTACATCAGCAATTCCTATACTTGAGCGCTCAGATGTTTTTTGGACTACCAATCCCAGAGCCCCGAGCACTGACTGTGATGACTAGGGTTACTAGGAGCTGTAACCATTGGGCATGCATTCCACATTATTGGAGCCACTTGGGAGAAGGCTCTCTCCTATATGTTTGTTAGAAAGGTCTCTGAAAAGGCTGGAAGCTAGAAGGTGGCTAGTTCCTTCCTCCATGTTTAGTTTCAGTTCACATTCAGTCCACAAAAGAAGCCAGCCAACTATCTCCACAGCTTTGCAATGGATAGATGGCTCTGTGTTGCAGAGAAGATTCTTGTATTTTCAAAACAGAGATTCAAAATGTATTGCTTCTTACGGCCTTTCTTTTCCCCAGCAAAACCAGGGGCTTCTAGTCTACAACCTAGCAGCCGACTAGCCTGTTACCTGCAGCTTGCCACTGTGTCTTTAGAAAACATGCAGGCTACTCTGCTCATGGAGCTCCCTTGGAGGTTTTTGGTAACATCCTCATGCCTGATTACAAGTTTTTAACTCAAAAGCTTGCCTAATGAAAGTACCACCACAACACAAATTTTGTACCTTAATATTTCTGACTGCTTTGGCTTGCCTCCATAACTGGTTCTGCACTGCAATGTCTGGTAGTATTTGGATAAAAGGATCACAATTCCTCCAGCTTTCCTAGACTAAATAGCAGTCATAAATAAGCTCCCCACTTGAAGAAACTGTTTGGCTGCCTTTAACCAGTTTGTAGTTTACACTTATGAAAACTTCCTGTGTTTATCAAAAGATCTGCCCACAGAAACTGGTGAACTCCCATTGGTTTTTTACCTGCGTTAAGTCCTATCCATTTTTGTGAGGCTTACGTTGGTCCACAGTGTGTGTTCCACTTAGGGTCCTATGCCCAGTGTGATACCTGGAAGTGCCTGATATACGTCAGCTACTTCAATTTAGATCCTCCTGATGTAAAGCATGTGTGGGAGAAAATCTTTACTAAAGAAAGAAGAGAAAGAGATAAAAAGAAGAAGGGGGATTCTTCTAGGTCAGATCTGTCCCATCCATGGAGTAAAAAACCACATGACGGCTCAACAGTTTAAACTTCCTCATTATCGGGTTTATCATTGGCAAGACATTCTGATCACACAAATGAAGCAACTACCAGCACATGGGCTACTTCAGGCTACCACATGATGTACTGGATGTCTAGCAACACAGATTCAAAGATGACTAATCCAGGCTTTAGAAAGCAGAGCAGGAGCTCATTCCTATTAATACCCTGAGATTTGTATAATGTAATTTGTTTTCTGAATTAATCCAATTCCTGCATAATCAACAGGATTACTGTTAAAAGTACATTCTTGTTTCTTTCTTGAGGTTGTCTTTTTCTCTTATTTCATGGTATTATTTTCCCTCCAAAACTTCATCTGATACAATTTATGACAGATAACACCTAGCATTTCCTAAGACAGTGGTTCGCAGCCATGTTTTTGGACTGCAGCTCCAAGAAATCTGGGCCTGCACAGTTGGAGGCGAAGGCTTCCAGGAACTGAAGTACAAGAACACCTGGACTACCTAAGGTTGGAAACCACTGTCCTGAGACATTCCAGTACATAAAATATGCACAATCTTCAAAGACCAAGCATTGATTCAGCTTCATTATATGGGCTAACCATCCAATGGTTATTCCTGCATAGAGTAGGGCCACTGAAATAACTGCTGAATGGTAAGTTCACACTTGCAACTCTCCCATGGCCTTCAATGGCCAGAATGCAGCTGGCATGGTACAGCATTAACTGGAAATCATGAGAGGTGTGTGTGCAATCTTGTTAACTCTCCATTGCATGCTGAGGCTGAGGCACGTTCAGACTGAACAACTGTATACTCATTTACACACCCACGTGTGACAAATGTGAAAACTGCTTGAATGATTTTCCTTATGTGCACTGTATTTCAAAACAGGACTTTGGCTAACGAGTTTACTCTAGTTTACATTACCAACTGGATTCAGGCTACAGTATTATCTCATACTGAAAACATCTGAACTGGCTCCTTCTTACCCTCTGGATAGTGCTGAGCTACAATGCACAACCCTCTCATCACTGGCTATGTTGCCTAAGGCTGATGGGAACTATAGATCAACAACATTTAGAGGGATACAAGTTGGCCATCTCTGTTCTAAAATAACAAATTCAGTGAAGATATATCTATCCCTGTAAGTTAATAAAAGGAGTCACTTTCCCCCATAAAGTTTGAACCAAGCTGATCCACCCAGTGCCTGCAACTTGTAAGGAGCACTTTCATTCAGAAGCATAAATTGCTCATCTCCTTTTTCCCCTCTCGACAACTGTGTTTGAGCCAACAGGATTTGCCAACAGAATTTTCACTGGAAGGAACACAGTGGTGTTCAATGACACAAAAGACAGCAATATGAGGCTAGAACTACTCATGCTCCTCTGTGGTTCTTCCTCCCATTCTTCTGGATATGCAGGAACCTTGGCCTATAGAAGAACACAAACCACAGCATTAAAGCCCTAGCAGAGAGATTACCAAAGCCACAGAGTTTTATGGCTTCTTAAATACTCATATAACGGATTAATTCTGGCACAAGCTTTGGTGGACTGCGTGTCTCTGTACCCCAGATGCATGGAGTATTAAAGTTTATTAACGATATGCCTGAGGGTGGTAAATGAGTGCTGTACAGGTCACCTATATTTACCTTCATTCTCTTAGGTATGATCTCCTGCTGTTTCCATTTGGTTAGCATGATAACAATTCCCTTCCTTAGAAGATTGGATTTCCAAGCTGTTATCATCCTAAACCATCTTATTACAGCATGCATATTACAACATAGCCAAAATAAATTGCTTCAAACTTTCACAAAATGTTCAAATCAGCATCTGTCTGTTAGAACCTCCCAGGATTCTCATGCAGATGGCAACTCTTTCAAGCATTTGTTTTACTTCTGTGAAGTTATTTGCTTGTTTAGCTTTACTTGCCCCCCCCCTCACACACACACACATGAATCTTCCTCTTACTTGCCACAGAAGTCCTTGTGAGTGGCCGACAGAAAGAGGGACAAGTCAGGGTGACTACGAACCCAGTTCTTCACCATCTCTGGGTGCCTGGGGTCAACTTCCAGAAATATACTCCTGAAAGCAGAAAAGAGGAGCAAGAGAAACGGGTAGATGAATCAATACTTCCTTAAGAGGAGGATACTACACACAGTCTTCTTTCTTTAATTGTATCAAAGTGTTGCACAATACAAGATGTTGGGTAATTTTGCTCATCAGCAAGTTTGCAGGGCAACATTTCTCAAAGTGAAGCTGCACTATGTTGCCCAGGGGATGCCCAAGTGCACATGAATGCCGTCTCATTCTTCAGCGAGGCTCCTTCTCTGTCCTCTACGTCCCATGGTTAAACTGAGATACTGAGAATTGATTTGTGTGATTGCTCACCTAGATGAAGCTCCCAGCTCTGCCACACTTGCTGCTTGCTTTTGGCAGCTCTACAGACCATGGATGAAATGAAGAGCTGGGGCATTGCTGAAGCAATTACGCACCCACTGCAGCAAAGGCCACCATCTTTGCAGATCAGTTATCAGGTCATGAGAACTGAGACATCCCAAACTACCCTGTAATGCTTCATGTAGTACCACACAGACCAGTCCAAATTATGCAACCTGCATGATCCACTGGAATTAAACCTCCCCTTGTATTGGGAAATAAATGCTGCTGTTTTCATTACATCTCTCATAATGGCGGAATCTGAAGTTTGAGGGAGGGGTCTGAGGACTCCACCTGCTCCTCAGTATTGCCCATTTTTTGCCCCTCTCTGGGCGTGATGAGATCCGACTCTGAGAGAGTGGAGGTGGCTACAAGGGCTGCTGCTTCTCCTTTCACTGTTCACTCAAAGAAAATGAACACACTGTAGCAGCAAAGAAGAGGAGCAGCATAGCTTTCTAATGAATGGAATAAAACTGCTTTGCTACTCATTGTCACCAATACTCAGCTATGAGGTTGTCAGAAGACCACACGCTTTTAGAATTAAGTTCTAAAATCCAACTGCCCAAGAAGAAAGCCAAGTACACCTGGAATAATGTGTTGAAGCCCACCATGTGATTGTGTATTTCCTGCACAATGCACACAGAGACCCTTTATTTGGAAGTACATTCACAACATGAGGTTGTGGTCACAATGTTGGATGAGAAGAACCAAGCTGAGCTCCAAAACTCACTGGCTAGCACTGGGCCAGTCACACTCCCTCAGCCTGACTTACACTGCAGGGCTGTTGTGGAGAAAATGTGAAGAGGAGGGGCCTTCGGCTCATATGAGAAAATACAAGATACAAAGAAGTTGTTTGAAGTTGGCACTTACGGGAATGATACACAGAGGCCAGAATCCTATCGTAATTCACACCACATTTGATCAGTGGGTATCTGAATCTAAGTGAAAAATGACAAGCTGCAAGGTATGTCCTAGCTGCATGGCTGGTCATGTGCTTGGCTGTGCAACTGAGATGCATCCCTGTAATTTACACAAATCATATCTGAACACCAATAGGCTTCTGGCCAGAAATAAATATCAAAGTTCAGATGAGGAAACAAAGTGAGATATGATCAAACTGCCCAACCAACTGTGTTTAATTCTTTAACAGCAGGTGAAAAACACTACAGTATCTTTGAAATTAAAAAATCATAAAAGAGGAGCCTATAGAACAGTGGTGACAGAACAGGCTCATATAATATAGTGGTATAAAGTCAGTTTGTTCTGTTCTGCCTCTTCAGGCCTTTTCTACATTTTGGCCTCTGTAATTTTATGTCTCTGTTTTCCTGGAGAAGGCAGTTCTCAGCCATATTAAATAACTGGATTTCTTCAGTGGGATTTCTTCTCTCTTTTTCTCCTTGGGATATTCAAAATCTATGTGAGACAGCAAACAACCTTTCCATACAATGAAGTGGTTCTGTCTGTGCTCTTGAGTTCTCTCTCTTCCTCTTAGTTCAACCACTTCACTTAGTTCCCCAGATTTCCTCTTCTCTCAAGCCACATGCAGTAATTCTGAAAGCATGCTGCATGAGCACGCTGGATGAGAGGAAAATGCTAGTCCTGTCTTCCTCATTATCGTTCTGATCATGTGAAAGAAACAGTATGAGGAGAGGGTCTGTTCTATCCATATAGAAAAATCAGGGCTCTGTTTCATATGGGGGAGTCTATAGGAGTGAAATCCACTTCCCCACTTAAGATTTCTCACACCCTGGCAATTTTTGGGTGACCTCTCTAATTTGCATGGCTACAGCAGGAGAGAGGTCAAGCTATATCTGCACAATGGAAGAAAACTTTGCATCAGTTTTAGAAGTCACAGATAATTTATATAAATTGCTCTTTTTTAAAAAAGGAATAATCACCATATTAAGAAATGGGGTTAATCCTAACATGGTGATTATTCCCCCCCCCTTTTTTTAAAAAGAGCTATCTATCCTTTCTAATACTGATGCTGGATAGCTCTGTGAGTTAGTTATCTGGCTGCTGAGACAGATGTCAGGAGCTCAATTCCCCACTGTGCACCATAGAAGAGCCAGCCTGTGTAGCCTTGGGCAAGCTGCACATTCCCAGGATTCCCCCAGAAGATGGGCATTTTTACCACTGCTGAGTATTCTTTATTTGCAAAACCATGAAAATGATCTATGTAAGCCAGAGTTGACAGCACATGATTTAGGAAACAGGAATCGTATGCCTCAGGTATCCCATTTGAGATTTACTAAAGACAGTGGTGTTCCCTCCAAATTTGAAACCTGTTGAAGAAACACTGGTCTCACGGTTTTTAGTTTACAGGTTCCTCTAACTACTCAGTCTTGCATTTCACTTAATCCATGTTAAACACAATAGAGAGAGCAAGGGAGGTAACATGCCAAATGAATTTCAAAATGCTGTGCTAGGAAACTTAATACCACCATCACATCATGTCTGCTGAAACTGCTCTTTCCCCCCACTTCTAGAAGATGTTCAGACTTAGATGTCTTGATAACTTCCAGGAGTGGGCCAGCTTAGGGGGCTTGTGGAGCAAATTTATGTCTCCAACATTATCTGGGATATGTGGAACACGGAAAGGGCTGTTTTTGCATGTTCTGTTTTTTTGGGGGGGGAGGAATCAGGAGGTGCCCAGATGGGCACTTCTAGTTTGTGAGGGTGGAGTGGGGTGGGAGTTAGGGAGCCTCCCCAAAAGGTTGCTGATGTACCTGGAGGCCTCTAGAAGCAGAATCTGGCCATTTAATTTTTTTAAAAAAAGAATTTTAAAAACCTTTTCAGGGCCATAGGTAAAGGTAAATGTTCACCTTGACATTTAGTCTAGTCATGTCCTACTCGGCGGGCCGGTGCTTATCCCCGTCTCCAAGCCATAGAGCCAGTGTTTGTCGACAGACAGTTTCTGTGGTCACGTGGCCAGCGCGATTAGACATGGAACACCCTTACCTTCCCACTGTGGTGGTACCTATGTTGTTGTTGTTTAGTCATTAAGTCGTGTCCAACTCTTCGTGACCCCATGGACCAGAGCCCGCCAGGCCCTCCTGTCTTCCACTGCTCCTAGAGTTGGGTCAAATTCATGTTGGTCGCTTCGATGACACTGTCCAACCATCTCGTCCTCTCTAGTCTCTTTCTACTCTTTCCTACACACTTTCCCAACATCAGGGTCTTTTCCAGGGAGTCTTCTCTTCTCATGAGATGGCCAAAGTATTGGAGCCTCAGCGTCAGGATCTGTCCTTCCAGTGAGCACTTAGGGTTGATTTCTTTCACAATGGATAGGTTTGTTCTACTTGCAGTCTAGGGGACTCTCAAGAGTCTCCTCCAGCACCACAATTCAAAAGCATCAATTCTTCAGCGGTCAGCCTTCTCTGTGGTCCAGCTCTCACTTCCATACATCACTACTGGAAAAGCCATAGCTTTGAGTATGCGGACCTTTGTCGGCAAGGTGATGTCTCTGCTTTTTAAGATGCCGTCTAGGTTTGTCATTGCTTTCCTCCCAAGAAGCAGGCATCTTTTAATTTCGTGGCTGCTGTCCCCCTCTGCAGTGATCATGGAGCCCAAGAAAGTAAAATCTGTCACTGCCTCCATATCTTCCCCTTCTATTTTCCAGGAGGTGATCGGGCCAGTGGCCATGATCTTAGTTTTTTTTTTTATGTTGAGCTTCGGACCATCCATTGAGTTCTCCTCCATCACCCTCATTAAGAGGTTCTTTAATTCCTCCTCACTTTCTTGATATTCTTTGGAAATAAACATTCAATTTTCTGTAACTTTCCCTATCCCCCTTGCATTTTGTTTCCCTTCTCTTCTCTGCTATTTGTAAGGACTCGTTGGACAGCCACTTTTATTTCTTGCATTTCCTTTTCTTTGGGATGGTTTTTGTTGCTGCCTCCTGTACAATGTTATGGGCCTCCATCCATAGTTCTTCAGGCTAAATCGAGTTCCTTAAATCTGTTCCTCACTTCCACTGTGTATTCATAAAGGATTTGTTTTAGATTATACCTGACTAGCCCAGTGGTTTTTCATCCTTTCTTCAGTTTAAGCTTGAGTTTTGCTATAAGAAGCTGATGATCAGCTCACATTTTTACATGCTTTTGAACTGCTAGGTAGGCAGGAGCTGGGACAAGTAACGGGAGCTCACTCTGTCACGTGGATTCAGTCTTACGACTGCTGGTCTCCTGACCTTGCAGCACAGAGGCTTCTGCAGTTTACCCCGCCACGGCACCACGTCAGGGGCATAGTGGGCTGCAAATAACACACCTGAGGCTGAATGTGACCTAGAGACCTCACTTTGTCTACTCCACCTAGGAGAAGGAAGTCCTTCAACCACCACAACAGAACCAACTCAGAAATATTAAGTGAAATCATGTTTTCAATGTCCTGTGTAGTTCAGTTCTATGGGGACAACTTTTGTTGCTGAACTTGAAGACGCAAAGCTTTTTCAATGAGAAGAAATTATTCTCTAGCATCAAGACTAGGAATCTCAACATCTCAGTTTCTAGGGCTTATTGAGAATCATCTTAATGACTGTGTATCCAAACCCATCCCTAAAATTCTCAACTTGATCACAGCCTATGGCAGTCTTGCAGGCTACAAAATAAACGGAAGGAGAAAGAGCCAAACCCAAGCAATAAGTA